CGCTGCGAATCTGTTCGCGCAAAAAGGCGACTTCTGCCTTGAGACGGTCAATAATCGCCTGCTTGTCGCCCTCTTCGACCTGCTGGATGCGCGGCTTGCTCTGGATCGCACGGGCGCGCTGGGCGTACTGGACGGTGTTGAGGGTTTCGCTGAGGTGAAACTCGGCCGGCGTCACGCATGCAATCATGTAGGTGATGGCATTGCCACCGAGCGAGTCTTGCAGCAGACGGGTGAGGCGGGAGTCGCGGTAGGAGACGTGGGATCCCGCCTGGCGCGAGGACAGCTGCGAAATCACTTTGCCCAGGGCAGCTAGGCCGGCATTGATGGAAATGCCCTCTTTGGCGCGCTCGCCCTGGGCGCCGGTGTTCTTGAGGCGCTCGCTACCGGCTAAATCGACAAAATGGAACTTGCTGTCAACTGTGACAAAGGACTCGGTTCCCGTCAAGGCCTCCAGCGGGACAGACATGCGCTTCTCGGCCTTGGTGGACTGGAAGCCGTTCCTGCGCTGAACGAGGTTCAGGCTGAAGACAGCGTGCGAACGCGACGACCGCGCGTTGATGGCGGTTGCGTCGGTCTGGCGCAGGGTGGAGCCAAAGTTGAGGGCATTCAACAAATCGTCGACGGAATTGATGTCGACCTGGTGCAGGCCGGTCAGGATAATGTTGCCCTTGACGTCCTCGCGGATGGTGACGGAGGCACGCTCATGCGTGGGGACGCTGTCCGGGATGAGAAGATCACGCAGCTGCTCGTTGTAAATTTCTACGTAGGTGGCTTTGAGGGACCACGTCTTGTCGGCGCGGGGCGCAGCAGCCTGGCTGGCGCCGTAGCCTTTGGGCGCACGAAGATGAGACATGGAGCTACGGTTGCTGTTTGTTTTGGGGCCCTCGAGCTTCTCAAACAGCGCCGCGGCGGCTCGTGGAATGACGCCTGGTCGGACGAGTTAGTCAAGGTCAAGGGTTCGCGGTCAGGACAACAGAAATGCAAGGCAGCGCCAGCCTAAAACTTGGGCGTGTGCCATGCTGTAAGACGCAACATACCCATGATTTCGGGGTCACCCTGCTCGTTGGGACCGGACGTGCCCATGGTGTAGGACTTGCCGGCACCGGACTGGCCGTAGGCCAGCAGGGAGACATTGTAGCCCGTGGTGAAGGAGTTGACACTGTCGGTCAGGTAGTCCCAGACGCCGTCCTGGGAGACCTCGGGGCTGAAGACGCGGTCAAAGACAAAGAGCTTGCGGCCCTGTGGTGAGTCGATGGCCAGGCTTGTGTCGGAGTTGACCTGGACCATGGAGCGCTGGAAGCGCTGGGGAATGAGATCGTAGCCGGGATCGGTTGGCCGTAGCGGTGGGCGAACACGGACAGCTATCCTGTTAGTGACTCGAAAAAGAAAAAAAAAGGTAAAAGTGGCAGTCGCATCGCAACTGCAAAATACGTGAGGACTAAACGTCGAAACGTACCAACTTTGACAGAGGTGCGGCCGTCTTCGTCAGACGCACGGCTGCCGCCATTTTTGCTGCCGACGCTCATGCGGCTGTTGCTTCTGGGCGAGGGGCGGACCATGACGCTCATGGGCCGCTGGAGGCCCGGCGAGGCTGGTGATTGTGGCAGAGAGGACGGCGGGAAATGGCCGTGGGTATCGATGGCGGAGGGTATGGAGGAGGCGGAAGCGGCGGGCGCGACGGCCGACGCGACTGGGGGCTCCATGGCTATTTAGATTTTGCAGACAACACAGCGGAACAAGGCAGCAGGCAGAAACGAATTGGGTAGGGCTTCGATTCGATTGGAGCCAACCCGCGTGGGCCCTGCAGTAGGCGAAGGAGATGCGTTGGCGGCGCGTCCCTTCCTCGAGCCGTGCTGGTGGTCGAGATTGCCTTGTCGCCTCTCGCCTGTTTGTTGGCGCGCTTCCTTTCCTTGTTCCTTTGTTTTGCCGATAAGGGGGGGGAGGGGAAACAGCGCGTCGGTAGAGGGGGGACGGTAGATTGGTTCAAGCTGACAATGTATAATGTATCACGGCAGGAATTAAGACGACGCGAATATCGAATTTTACTGCGGCAATGCAGCCATGCAAGAACACAAAAGTCTCGGGTCGTGGTCGAGGGAACGGTCCTGGCTAAACAAGAGTGCCAAACTTTCGAGAACGTCAAGAAAAGACCAGACGGGCGATCGCGAGCGCGGGAAAACGACGAGAAGGACGGCAACAGGCGAGCGAAAAGCGACAGGACGCAAAGCGAACAGACGCAAAAGGGGGCTTGGTACGGATAACAAATCTGCCGGGAAACGGTTCTTCTGGTTTTGTGTGGCTCGCTGTAGCTCTAGCAGGCAGCGAGCGGCGTCATTCGAACAGGATCAGAAGAACATCAAACACAGCCGAGGCGAAGAAGCCGTGTGTGTGTCTCTCTCTCTCTCTGTGTGTGTCTGTCGCGCGGGTATATTTCGTAAAATGTCGTGGCGGTGCTGTCTCCTGGAACTGGACGGACGTTGGGCGACCAGTCTTTGGTATTAGTTTTTATTTGGTGTTTTATTTTCCTCGGAACGAGGTTGAAAAGGAGAAAAATAACAAAAACGAAATAACGAGGAAGAGCAGGGAAAAGGGGGGCTTGTGAAAGACAAGGCCAGATGCCCGATTTTGAGAAGCAAACGAAAAGGGCAACAGAAGAAAAATAGTAAGTAGCAAGAAAAAAGAAAAGAAAAAAAAGACAGAAAAGATGTAAACGATGACCAGAGGAGTCCACCACGCGGGAAACAAAAATTGGAGGTGCCAGAAAAGGGGACCAGATAGAGAGGGAAAGGGAGGAACAGTGTGACGGGGGGAGGCAAAGGAGAGACACGCCCATGTGCCTGGTTCTAGGGACGACGTGGGAAACGGACTGAAATGGACGAGAGAGAATAGGGGAGCGACGGACGGGGGGGGGGGGTCGCGTACGAATTATGGATACACCCAAAAGCCAAAAATCGAAAACGGAGAACGGCTGGCCCCATCCAACTGTCAAAGCTGGTGGAGTTGGGGCGGTGGACTCTGAAGCGGGCGTGTGTGGCAGAAGGACTGAAGGGCTGAAGGACGGATCTTGGCTTTGGTGTTTCTTTTCTCGCTCGGTGCGGTTTGCAACTGGATGGCTGGATGGATGGTCTAGGCAGGCGTGTGTCGTGTGTTTTACGGAGTACTTGCGTGCTGCTCGCTCCTGAAATGATTATGATATGATTTAATTGCGACCGGGGTGTCGCGCGGACATCGATAGTCGATTTCTGAGGGAAAAGCGCAAATTAACGGCTTTCTCTACGACGTGAAAAACGCGTCGCAGCACGTCGTCCCCCCAATGGGGACAGGACATGGGTTCCCAGGTGAAGAGCGAGAAGGGGTCCTGTTTCGTGAGTCGGGGGCCGGCGCGACGCTCGATTTGGGGTGAGAGATAAAACAGAATGGGGAAATACAACGAGAAACGGAAGTCGATGAAAAAGGGGGGACAATGGCGGCGGGAGCTGGAGGGCACCTCCAGCACTGGAGACTGGAATGACAGGGGATGGTTTTTGGTGTGGTGGAAAAGGTCCATAAATGGAATAAGACGAGACTTTCGAAAGCAATGATACAGTGTCGGCAGGCACAAAAATATCTGAATATCTGATAGATCGTCAGCATAGGCCGGCCATGCAAGGGAGACGGCCAGCAAAACAGGTGGTGAAAAGGCTGGCCCGTCGAAGGCGAGAATGGTGGGCCAAAGTGAGGTTCGCAAAAAGGAGAAAAAAGCTACGAGACAGAGAGGAAGCGGCGATGCCAGAAAAGGACGGAGACAATCAACATCAACACAAACATGGCATGCCACATCCGGAAGGAGCAATTCATACCACAGTAGGGGGCTCGACGGCAGAAGGAACGACAATGCTACGCTGTTGGGGATGGAAGGCGCGCGGGCGCGTGTCACAGGAGAAACGTCGTAGGATGTGAAGTTACAGTGGCAGGCGGGTGCAGCGGAGGGCAGCTGCTATTTGCACGGTTGGCAGGCGCGAGTTTCTCGCCCTTTCTTGGGAAAGAGCCAGAGAGACAGGTGAGGCACAAAGAGGAAAGAACGACCAAGGTTGCTTGGAGTTCGTCAAGCAGCAAGAGCGACTGAGCTGGACAACCCGAGAAAATAGGAAACCCGAAAACGTGAAAGTGAAAGTGACTGCAAGAGTTCGCTTGACTGCACTCTAACGTCGAAAAGAGCATCGGACGACCACATTCAAAAACCAAAAAGGGGCGCGCAAAAGGGACAGGGGTATGGGAAAGTGACCAGGGCCAGAGGCCAGGGGCCCCGACAGGGGTGGATAGCCCTAGCGTAGTGGGTCCTTTTTTCTTTTCTCTCCTTCATTGGGTTCTGGGTCGCTCTTGCCCAATCGCAACGGTGTACCTGCCGTGCGCTGGAGCTTGTCTCTTTTCAATATTTTGTATCACATATCGACTGAGTATTACAGCGTAGTGGCATCACTTTTAGGGTGGTGGGCTATTTCGACTGGATGCAGGTGATGGATGAGCTGTCGAATTGCATAGCGAAATTGCACTCGATGTTGAGAAATTGGGTACTTTTGGGTGACATATGCATGTTAAGATACAAAGGTACGAAGAAATGAGCTTGGCGCCTTATTTCTGGTACTTTTTTAAAAGACAGGAAAGAGCAACCGCGTGGTTCAGCGGCATTAACAGGTGACAGCCGTTTGCGCCTTCCAGGCTGTGTGGCATCCACCATTGCCTAGGAGCCTTTCTGTCGAGGAAGGAACGCGACGGTGTTCCAGGCAAGACCCAAAACAGGTCAATCTCCGTTTTCGAGGTCTTCTGTAAAGAGCATACATTAGGGGCGTTGTTGGCGCACCGTTGGAGCGTGGTCAGAGCATGGAGAGCAGGCCGGTGCGCTGTACGAAGCACATGTCTTGTACGATGTAAGTCGTAAAGACATGGTCATTCCTTGAAAGAAAACGACGAGGGTGAGACACGCGCGCTGCAGCGGGGATGTTGGAGGACATGTCGCGTTCATGGCCTGGTCGCTAGTGGAGGGACGTTGGAACCGATGGAGTCGTGGTCTGGCGAGGAGACTGATGATCGTTATTTCGCCACGGACATCCCAGACGTTTCTGAGGAGCAAGTTGGAGCATTTTGGAGTTGAGAAAGCGCGGGCCAGGACGCCCTACCCGTCGGTACTCACAATAGTCGTGTCTGGCAACGGAGAAAAAGGAGTCTCCAGAGGACGACAGTACGCTCAAACGGGTTACAGACGCGAGGGATGGGGATGGACATGGCCGTTGTTTGTCAGAACATGTCTCATTCAGAGAAGTCGTGCTCCTGCCAAAAGAAACTCATTTTGGGCAGAAGCGGACCGTGGTGTTCGTTGGTTCTTTCCTCGCCTCTCCGCTCTTTCCCTCGCGGTGCACTCTCCCTGGCGGGCGTCCGCCGGCAAGCACCCGCCGCCGCCCGCCTCTTTCCTCCCTTGCGTCCTCCAGAACAGAGAGCACGCGGATCAACGACACGACAACACCACCGTCAATAACGCACAAGCACTCTGATGTTGCCTTGGCCGCTTTCACTGGAAGGGATGACACGGGCCAATGAGAGCGTCCAACGGCTGTCTTGGCCGGAGCGTGCTGACCAGTGGCTCAGTGACCAAGAGGCCCGAGCCTTTTTTGTGGGGGTCTGGCTTTGTTTGGAGGATGATGCACGATGTACGGAAATATTACGAGTCCTACCCATAATGGACAGTACTGTGTATCATTGGCAGTTGGAAGCGACAGCAAAGACGCATCCCGGGAGCGTTCTCGTCACGGAAAGACCCAAATGATGGCGAGATACTTTGAGGATCGAGGTGGCATACGACGACTGAGGATGATCTCTGCCACGTCTTTTCCACAGCAGCAGGTTTTGGTTTTGTCCTGCTTCCCGTGTTTCTTGCTCCCTTTTTGCTCTGCTTTCTTTTTCCGTGGCAATTTCCTGTTTTCCCTTTTTCTTTTCTTTTCCGCTTCTTTCTTTCTTCTTTCATGTCTCACCTGGGCAAACGCCATCCTCTCGCTTCGTCACCGGTTTGATAACAGGAGCAGCGGTCCCCGCTGGCGTGCGTCGCACGCATGAAACTGTCCGGCCAGCCTCCTCCGATTCCCTCTCGCCCTCTCGTCCGTTCCTATTTTCGTCAAAGCCTGTTTCTAATTTTGTGTGCGAGGCCCTTCTAGAAACCAGACGCTTGCATACGAAGTAGGTACAGAGTAAATCGTACGACGTGCGGGAGTACTCGGACACACGCAATGTCCCCCCATCTCTTTTTCTTCACATGGAGACGCCAGCAGGACACGCGATGCGACAGCAAAGCCGCCCGATGTAGATGCAGACGTACGGGAGATTGCAGTGGGCAGTGGACACTGGACAAGACGTTGGACTCGACGATTGTTCTGCACTTTGTGTAAGTACGGGATATTCCATGTCGCGTACGTATCGTATGACATGTCACTTGAGTCGCACTGCAGGCTGCTGCACTTGTTGCCGTTGGAAATGAAATGCGCCAAAATGGGCCATTGTTGCAGCCAGCGGAGTACGGTGGACAGAGGACTTTGTCATACGACACAGCCGAACAAACACAGTTTGATGCTGTTTTGTCAAGATGTGAAAGACAACATTCTGCCGGCACAATCGGTGTCCTTGTCCCAAACACGCTCACCGGCCATGGACAACCTGCCCCTCGTCTTCTTTTCCCCTCCCTTCTCTGCCATCCCCGGGGTCTCTGGGCCAGACTTGTTATTTATGCGGTTCTGCCCCAGCGCATCAACCGCCGATAGCCCTGGTCCATCCCTTGCCTTCCAATCTTTCGACCACGTCGAATCTGCCGTTGAGCAGCCCCAACATGCGGTAAAGAAGAAGCAGCCAGCAGGTCAGGCCGATTTCCACAACGACTCGGTACACAACGACTCGGTAGTTCTTTGGTTCTTGGTGTCTAGCGAGAAGGCAATCTCTCCCTCTTGTCGTCTTTTTCTGGTCGCGTACATAGCCTATTCGCCAGATGGGCCTCTCGTCACAGTAACGGCAAAAAATGGGGACCATGATCGCAGTCGATCTGGTTCGAGGAAACGTCAGCCACACCCAAAAGCACTCAACGCACAGGGTCCAGCCTCTTTTGCTCTCTGTGACGACGGGTGCAAAGGTAGGCCTTGCCCAGGGCCAGTGTGCTTCCAAGTGTGGCGACTACGCATGTCGTATATGATGGCGTTCGATATCAAGTGCCGTACCAGAAATGAGTGCAAGTGGGAGGTGCTAAGAGAAGGAGGGATACAGAGTATGTCGAGTTGTCTCAGCGGATTCGTACGGAGCAATACTCCGTACTGTACAACAGACGATGTTCCACACATGAAAGTACGTTAGCTTCCTCGTGTAGGTAGGGAGCATCCGTATCGGACGTCGATCGTTTACCGGATGCCGGGCGTGGTGCCCGCTTTGTCACTGGATTAGAAAAGGAAACCTATCCTGCAATACCATGTACATTTTACGAGTATGTACGCTGTGCGTTAGCTGTGGTTAGTGTTTAGTGCCAGCGCGCATGTTGAAAAAGTGCGCTTGTGTTGGACTTGCATGGACGATCAGCAGCCAACGGTGAGCCAAGGAGCAATACGATTGAGAGAAAGGGAGGTTGTAAGGAAAGAAGACTGGGAGAGGAGAATACTGCAAACACACACAAAAAAAAAAACTGACAGTCCAAGCGTGCCCACAACCGTCTCTCGCATGGTCAGGGAACGTGCGACAGACTGCGACCTACAGCGATTGGGTCATGAATGGCCAACGTTTAAAACGATCGTTGCCACAGATGTTAGGCAGAAAGACGGGGATATCAATGCTCAATGCTCCATGCCAGGATTGTTGTGTTATACCAATATACGGAGCATGTCGTACACGGCGATGGGCAAATACAGTTGCTGTCTTCTCTCGCATCCTCGCTGCGCTCGACCGCATGTCCGATGCAGACAATGAAGATGCACTGTCCATCAACGGTGCGCATGCTCATGCGTGTGCACAGATCGTTGCTCTGCATGCGGTGTTCTCCATGCGGTGTTCCATGCACTGCAACTCGTCCGACAAAATGCTTGTGGCCATCTCCCTTTACGGTCTGTACGGTCCGTCTATATCGTCCTCGCACCCTTCATCAGCGTCGTACTTGGTGGCAGCATTGAGAAATGCCACGCCGGCACGTGGACCGGCGCTGGTCGGTGTCAACAGGCAAGTCGATCGCATCGTGGGACGTCGCGAAACTGGATGCAGCCACGACGATGATGCTCGAACGCCTTTGAGAATCCGACTTTGGCCATGGACGGTTGCGTGTCGAACGTCGAACGTCGAACGGCAGAACGTCAGGCCTCGTGATCTCCAGAAGAGACGCGAGCGCCCAACCGTGGAAAAGAACGGACGGACGGGTCAGACCAGACGATAAACGAGGAGAAACACATTTAGCCAGCCAAGAACCAGAAAACTGGCGAAACTGGTCCATCTCAAGGCGGATGTCGTACGTCGTAGGTCGTACATTGTACGTCGTCCTGTTCCCCGTCCTGTCGATGCACGCCATGACGTCTGTGCCGCCCAAGCACAGGTCAGCAAGAGAAGAGCAAACGAGTTGGCGGTTGTGCGACATGCAATATGGAGATGGAAAGCTGGGAATGATGGATGCTGCCAGACACGATACATCTGCCCTCTCTCTCCCCTCTTCTCGCAGCTGCCCGTGCGCAGCATGCAAAAGAAGCGGTCCAAAAACGCCCCGAGAGCCCTCAGACGTCGGATTTGCACGTCGTGTGTTGCTTGTTGCCTTTCCGGCTCTACCGGTTCACACCCTTTTGTGTCCTCATTTTTCTTTCCTTTCTTCTCGGCTGTCTCGCTTGATCGTTTGCCTCTTTGCTACCCAGGCGTTCTGTGTATTTAGTCCTCCACGCTGATTGTACATCATGGCTTTTTCCAGGTCGTATTCAAACGCCACAGTCAAGCAAAATGGACCTCTCGAGTTCCCTGGCCCGCCCGTACTCCGGGAGTCTCGTGTAAAGCATCGCACATGTCGTGGTTCTGTCGTATGGGCATATGTCACTGTGCTGAATGGACAATGGAGTTCACCTGCCGCAAAGTCTCATGTAACGAAAGTATCACTTCATTAGCAGAGCTGTACAACTCGTGCCAATAATTGGAAATCGCTTCGCCTACAAATCGTCAAGACAGGGAAACTCGTCGCGTGCGTAGGAGATAAAACAAGATCCTCAGTCCTGGTTTCTGAGCAACGATCCGTCACGACAGCACCAGTCACCGGCGCCACAGTGCCACGCTTCTGGACTGAAAGACTAAGGCGGTAAGGGGCGTATAGAGTAGAGTATGAAGGGCCTTCTCACAGTTTCCATAACATTTTCCTTAAACATGATGAGCCAAATATGTTGACTATATGAATTTGAATAAAATATAATAAAAAAATTAAATTAAACGATATGGACGTTCTTTTATCCCGAAAACTCAACACAAGCAATACAGTTTATTGCCAAACAAAAAGCAACGAACGTTAACGCAACAAACGTAAAACTAAACTGGAAACAATACCGAACGACGCAAGTCATAAATAATCATCATAATTCAGTCGGAATGAATCGTTGTTTGTCACTTGGACATGGTCACGTGCCACGCGACCGTGACCCCACAATTTGGGTGGACTTATGGAAACGACGTCAAGTCTCGATGGGAAGGAGCAAACGCGCCTGCGCGCCTGACTGCGCACCCAAAACAGGAGACACTTTCGGCCCACCGCTTCGACGACGACAAACACCACCATCACTGGTGACCTGACGACCTCTCGCACGACCTCTCGCGCGACCTCACACGCCACCTCACACGCTACCCTTCCATTGGTATCCCTAGCACGCGACAGCCGACGACAATGGCCCCGGTGGCAGTCGCGGCGGCGGCGGTTCCCCCGGCAGCAAGGCGTCGCAAGGCGAAAGAAAGGGGTGAGACGACACAGACACAGTCGCAGATGCAGCCCGACAAGCTGTCGATACGCGGACCGAAGCAGCAGACGCCCAAGCGAAGCCAGCGAAGCCAGCGAGGCCAGCGAAGCCAGCGACGGCAGTCGACCGACTCGCCGTCGGCGCAGCTCGCAGGGGCCATCTCCCACCGTCGAGACGACGACGACGACAACGACGACGACGACGATGACGACGACGGCATGCACTCTCCACGGCGAGAACGCACACGGCGTGGGCCGAGCATGTCGCGGTCACGATCTCGCTCCCGATCGCGGTCGCCGAGACGGAGGCGCTCTTCGTCTGCGTCCGGCTCGGAGGCGTCACGCCCACACTCTCGCGCACACGCCCATTCCCACTCGCTCTCCCCGCGGAGCCGCTCTCCTTCTCGCTCTCCTTCTCATTCGCATTCGCGCGCGCGTGCGCGCGCTCGCTCCGACTCGCGCTCTCGCTCCAGCTCGCCGCGGCGGACAAACATAAACGGGTCGCGCAGGCCTGCCAACGACGACATGCACACGCACACGCACACGCATGCGCACGCGCACCGCTGCCGCCGACGCCGCTGTTCCGCGTCGCCGCGCCCCCGCTACCGGCGCGTCCTCGCCATGCGCGGCCACAGCGGCCCCATTGCCCAGGTGCGCATCTCGCCCGACGGGCGCTGGATCGCGTCGGCGTCGGCGGACGGCACCGCGCGCATCTGGGACGCCGCGACGGGGGCGCACATGACGACGCTCGTGGGCCACGTGGCGGGGCTGTCGTGCCTGGCGTGGAGCCCGGACTCGAACACGCTGGCGACGGGCGCCGACGACAAGGCCATCCGGCTGTGGGACCGCGTGACGGCCGAGCCGGCGCACGCCGTCGGGGAGGCGGGGGGCACAGGGAACGAGGAGACGGGCGGCGACGACGGGGCAGACGGGGCAAATGAGGCAGACGAGGCAGACGCAGCTGGGGGGGAGACGCGGGTGGCGGTGCCGTCGGCGGCGGCGCTGGCGGTGCGGTTTGCGCGGCGGCAGCTGCGCGAAGGCATCAACGGCACCAACGGCAACGGGGCGGCGAGCAGCGGCGGGGCGCGGGGCACGCGTCTGCCGCTGCTGGGCCACCACAACTACGTGTACTGCCTGGCGTTCTCGCCCAAGGGCAACATTTTGGCTAGCGGCAGCTACGACGAGGCCGTCTTTCTGTGGGACGTGCGGGCCGGGCGGCTGATGCGCAGCCTGCCGGCGCACAGTGACCCCGTCAGCGGCATCGACTTTTGCTGCGACGGCACGCTCGTCGTCAGCTGCTCGACCGACGGCCTGATCCGCATCTGGGACACGGGCACCGGCCAGTGCCTGCGCACGCTGCTGCTGCTCAACGAGGACAACCCGGCCGTCACCAACGTCTGCTTCTCGCCCAACGGCCGCTTCGTGCTGGCCTTCAACCTCGACTCGTGCATCCGCCTCTGGGACTACATCGCCCAGCCGAGCACCGTCAAGAAGACGTACCAGGGCCACCTCAACAAGCGCTTCTCCATTGGCGGCTGCTTTGGCCGCCTGGCCGACAAGCCGGGCGCCGCCAAGAAGCACAGGCCCTTTGTCGCCGCCGCCAGCGAGGACGGCGACGTCGTGCTCTGGGACGTCGGCTCCAAGGCCGTCGTGCAGCGTCTGCGCGGCGCCCACCGCGACGGCGTCGTCTTCTGGGTCGATGTCTGCGGCGCGACCATGGTCAGCTGTGGCCAGGACGGCTGGATCAACGTGTATCGGCATACAGAGAAGGGGGCGGCAAAGGCAGAGGCAGAGGCAGACGATCATGGTGGAGAGACGGTCAAGACGAGGGACTGATATCCAAATAAGAAAGCACGCAACGGGACAAGGAGAATGCGTTCTGGACAATGTTCAAAGAATGGGGTCTAATATATAGTTTCGTGTCGTGTCCAGCAAAAAGAAATATAAATAAGGACAGGCGTTAAAAGTGAAAAGGAATAAGACAGTCTAGTGCGACCAGAACTATGGACGACTGGCTTCCCGGTGATGATGTTGATAAAGATAAAAAAAAAAGACAAAGACAAGAAAACGGCAAAACAATAAGCCCAAAAAGTCAACAAAAAAGACCAACGTCAATAGCCAAGTAGCAAACCAACGCAAAAGCCAACAACCTCATATCCTCATATCGTCTCCCATCCGCCATTGTTAATGTCCATCTCCAGCTTCCGGCTGATGAAGCTCGGCACGCCGTGGCTCAGCCACACGGCCCGCAGCATCGCATCGTAGCGCCGCTGGTTCAGCTGCAGCGGCCGTCCGTGGCGGAAGCCCAGGTCCACCTCGCCGTACTTGTCAATGTACGGCGCGTACCCGTACGAACCAGACATGCGGTGCAGGTAGTAGATGCAGCACTTGCGGATGTTGAGAAACAGGCCCATGTTGCGCTGGCACCGCCGCATGTGCTGCTGCGCGCCCCCGATCCGCCGCCGCGCATGCGTCCGCCCGATCCGCTCTTCGCGGAGGCAGCAGATAGCCTGCCCGCAAAACACCTCGCCGCACAGCAGGCAGATCATCGGGTCCGACACGTCCTTGCCCGTCGTCGGGCACCGCGCCCGCGTGCACTCGTCCAGCAGCTGCTCAAAGTTGTGCGGCAGGCCCACCAGCTCGTAGATGCCCGGGTGGCTGAGGAGCGCCGACGACGGCGTCGACGGTGTCGACGGTGTCGACGAGGGCGCCGCCGAGGACCCCACCTCCGTATCCGGTCCTGTCCACGTCGTCGGCATGTCCGTCGACACGGTCGGTGTCGCCGTCCAGCTGGCATGGCCCGCCAGTTCGCTGCCGCTGCCACTGCCGCTGCCGCTGCCGCTGCCAGCGTCACCGGCCGTAATGTTGGCCGTCGCGCTGGCAATGTCCGCGTCCGTCGTGTGCACCGACGTGTTGGCCGCCGCACGGGCCGTCTTCTTGCCCCATGTGTGTGTGTAGTAGTGGTGCACCCAGCCATTCACAAGCTGCGGCGTCGAGGCCGGCCACCCGGCCGCCGCTGCGCGGTCGGTCACCAGCGCCGCGCACATGTCGTCAAACGACGGCAGCTTCAGCGCCTCGCTGAGCCGCTCGAGCTCCGACAGCTCGGGCGCCGGCGACACGTGCGTGTTGAAGTCGACGCCCGCGTGCGCGTACAGGAGCACCACCGACTTGCGCAGAAACACGAGCGCATACCGCCGGACAAACTGGTAGTAGCCCTCCAGCGTGTTGACGCCCTCCTGGTCGAACCCGCGGTTCGCCCCCAGCGCGTCCGTCGCCAGCAGCGAGGCGTCCAGCACCGCGCTCGGCCGCCGGTGCGTCGTGCGCGCGCCCAGGTCCATGTGCGCGATGCTGATGCAGAACTGCGCAAACGTCTCGCGGGCCGGGTCGCTGTTGCCACCGCCGCCGCCGCCGCCGACAGCGCTCGTGCGGTTCATGAGCTCGCTGATCCACGCCGACACCGGAATGTTGCGCCCCATGTGGTACACCACCTTGACCAGCTCCGCCAGGTAGCACAGACGCAGCACGTGGGCCAGCTCCAAGTCGAGCGCCGGCACCATGCCGAACGCGCTCTCGCAGAGGAAAATAAACGGGTCGCGCCCCAGCAGCGGGCCGTACTGGTGCGTCGGCGCCGCCGTCGTTTCGGTTTCCTGGTCAAAGTACATGGCCACAAACAGCTGCACGTGCTGCCGCTCGGCGTCGCGCCGGTACTCGCGATCGATGCGGTTGTCGCCGCCGTGCCGCTGCGCGCCAATCGCAATGTACGACGTCACCGTCTCGCAGAGGATGCGCAGGTGCGTCAGCGACTGCTCGGGTATCTTGGACAGCAGCGTCATGCCGTACTCGGCGTCCGTCCCGCGCTGCTGGATCTCCGCCGCCGAAATCGAGTAGCCCACCGCCTGTGCGAGCGTGTCGCTGCCGTAGATCTCGTTACGACCGCGTCCGTTGTCGGCCATCGGCAGCAACGGCAGCATCGGCAGGTCGTTGGTGCGCAGCGTCCGTTTGAGACGCCGGTACGCCGAGACAAGGTCGCGCACCACATTCGCGGGCTCGGGCTGCGCCTGGCCGCGCGCGCCACTGCTCGTGGACGCGGCGCCTGGCGCACCGCCCGCACCGCCCGCACCGCCCGCACCACCAGCACCTCCGCCCACCCCGGCCACGCCAGCAGCAGCAGCAGCAGCAGCAGCGGCGGCGGCGGCGGCCCCGGCCATCGCAGCTGGGAGCGGCGGCCAGCCCAGCGACGTGCCCGGTCCCGGGGGGTAGTGCGGGCTTGGGGGGAGGCGCTCCCAGGCTTCGTAGACGAGCTGCGACGCCTTGTCGGAGACGCTCGTGAGCATGGACGCGCCAATGTACTGCCGCTGGGTGGTCAGCACCGTGTCGGGCGGCCGCGCGGCGCTCAGCACGTAGTGCGCCGGGCCGGCCATCTGGCGGTCGAGGAACGGCGCAAAGGGCGTGGCGGCGACGAGGGCGCCCGGGTACGACTCTTCCTTGCCCTTCCAGACAATGGGCAGGAACGCATTGCCGAGCGCCTTGCACAGCGGGCAGACAAACTCGAGGCGGTCCGTGTCTTCGGGGTGGTGCCGTGCGATTTGCTGGTTGTGCCGACGGAGGGTCGCCTCAAAGTACGCCTCGAAGCAGTGGTGGTGCATGATGTGGCCGCAGCCGACCGACAGGACGCCCGGCTGGCAGTTCTTGGACGGAAAGCCCTTTCCAATCACCTGCCGCTCCGACTCAAACGGCGCGCCGTCCGCGCCCACCTTGACGACCGTCTGCCGGTTCTCGTGCGCCACGCCAAACGGCCGGATGCTCTCGGCGGACCGGTCGAGATTCTTGGGTGTCGACGCGGCCTCGCGCACAAAGTCCGGGTCCTGCAGGTCCGTTTGGCGCAGGATGAGGCTCTCGGTGAAAAAGGCAAACGATCCGTACAGACGCCGGTCATCCGTATCCTCTTGGCACAGGATGCATGTGCCGCTCGGGTACTTCCAGAGCTTCTTCTGCGCCTCGGGCGCGGTGGCAGCGGACGCGTTCATCTCCTCGTCCTCGTCTTCGTCGCCGTCGTCCACGATGCCCCAGTCAATGTCGCCCTGGTTGGCCAGGAAGCTCTTTTGCTGCTCCTGGAACTGGGCCATGACGCGTGCCTGGCGGTCCATGGCCGCGCGCTTCTTGCGCTCGCGCTCCTCGTCGGCGTCGCTGCTATTGTACGCCGGCGAGGCGGTGCTGATGCGGTCGACGGAGACGCCGAGGCGCGCGTACGCCGACGCAAAGTCGGCCGGGCGCTTCTGGCGCATGCGCTTCAGGATGAGCGTGATCTTGGGGTGGCACGCCTTGAACTCGTCCTTGGTCGACATCTTGTCGAGCAGCGCCACGATCGTCTTGGCCTCGGGCGACTCGGGCAAAAAGTTGCTGCGGGCCTGCTGGTTCAGGGCGTAGCGGATAAAGGACGCGCCGTCCTCGCCGCTGCCGGGGTCGCCCTGGCCGCCCTGGCCGGCCTGGGCGGCGCCGCCGGCTCCAGACGTCTTGTCCTCGGCAATGGCAATGAGCACCAGGTGCAGGACGACCTGCAAGAACGTCTCGATGCGCGTTAGGGGAACGGTGGGCGTCAGCTTCTGGGCCACGAGCGGGTAGAGCAGCGAGTAGTAGATGAGCTGCGCAAAGACGCCGGTGCGCGTAAAGTCGGCCAGGCCGGCAAAGGCGCCCGTCGTGATGGCCTGCAGCTTGGGCTCGTAGACGATGGACTCGGCCGGCTGCCCCATCTTCTTGGCCATCCACTTGCGGTAGGCCGTCTCGGACTCCTCGCGCTGGTTCTTGTTGTAGTGCGCGCTGTAGGGGTCGACCTCCTCAATGTACTGCGCGTCGAGCTCAAAGGTGCCGACGTCCGTGTTGCCGTCGGGCGACTTGAAGGTGGCCATCTGCTCGAGCACGTCCTGGAAGTTCTCCTGCTCCTGGAAGCGGTCGGGCAGCTTGTTGCAAATATCCGTGTAGGACAGCGGCTTGAAACACAGGACGTGGACGATGTCGCGGCGCAGGGCCAGCAGCTGCGTGGCGGCGTCGTCGTGCGCGTCGACGAGGGACGTGCGGTCGCTCACCAGCACGATGAGCAGGTGGATCATGTCCTCGACGACGTCGAGGTGCTGCGCGTCGTCCTGGGCCTCGGCCTTTTGCTCAAAGATGCCCTTGACCCAGCGCTCCATGCCGAAGCGGTCGATGATGGACACGAGCACGCGGCTCGGGTTGCACACGACGAGGGCCGTCTGCAGCAAGAAGATGTCGCGGTGGTGGGCGACGTCCCGCTGGCTGACGCCGCGGTAGGTGCCGGCCTGGTGGCGCAGGCTGATGCCGTTGCGCACCCACATGCCGGCCTTCATCTGGGCGAGCCAGGCGCAGACGCGCAACGGGTAGTCGAAGGCGGCCATCAGGTAGTCCTCGGGGCCCAGGCTGGCGCGGCGCGGCATCATCTTGCGCCCCATGGAGCGCGGCTGGACCTTGAGCTCGTGGGTGGTGAAGCTGAGGTAGCGGCGCAGGCTCTCGAGCGACAGCGACTTGCCGCACTCGATGAGCCAGGAGAGGGTGTAGTGCAGCGCGTGGTGGAAGCTGATGGGCTGCTCCTCGACGACAAAGCGCACGACGTCGTAAAAGGCCGCGGGGCGGTCAAACTCAAAGTCGGACAGGACGCGGAACTGGACCTCGTCGCGGTTCTCGGCCTGGCTGAAGCGCTGGCGCTCGGCGCCGATGGAGTTGAGAATGACCGTCTTGGCCGTGTAGCGGATGGCGCGGGCCAGGTGGCCGATGTCGGGGCCCTCCAGGTTGCGGTAGGCGTCGGAGAACTGGCGGCACAGGCGGTTGATTTCGCGCGTGATGAGCGAGGCACTGATCCACGTGCCGGTCTCGTACTCAACGTGCTCGCCGATGGCGCGCGTGTTGGGGCAGATGCCCTGGTGCAGCTTGACGAGGTCGAGGAACTGCATCATATACCGGTCCTCGGTGCGCAGGCACTTCTGGACATGGGGCGAGCTGAAGAGGTACTTGAGGTCGACGAAGAAGTGATACATCCGCCGGTTGGTGACCGAGCCCGAGTCAAACGCGAGGACGGCGCTCGACGACACGTCCCAGGGGTGGCCGACCTGCCGCGTCGTCAAGAAGGTGTACAAAATGGCCATGAGGCTGGTCAGGAAGTTGCCGCGCTCGACAATCTCGGTCGTGATGGAGGGCGTCGTCAGCATCTGCAGCGAAATGTTGATGATGGAGTGGTCGGGCTCGCGGTCGCCGATCAGATACAGCTGGGCCAGGGTGGTGTAGAGGCCGGCAAAGCGCAGGCCGAGGACGCGCTTGAACTCGGGGATCGTGACGACGGTGGAGATGTAGAGCGACCGCAGGTCGTTGCGGACCTTCTTCCACATGCGCAGGTCAAACAAGATCAGCCAGTCGAGGCGCACGCGCTGGAACAGGTCCTCCGCCGGGGGCACGCCTTCGACCTCCATGTAGTCGGGCGGGACGCCGAGCCAGTAGCGGCCGGGGTTCGGGGGCTCGGCCCGGTCGGACAGGATGTTGCCGGGTGTTTTTGGGATGTCGAGGCCGGACTTGGAGTACGCAGTCGGGGCAATCAGCGGCTCGGCCGTGTCCGAGTCGGAGGGTGTCACATCGCGGTCACGGTGGCTGCGGCGCGAGGCTGCTGCTGCGCCTGCTGCTGCGCCGCTTCTTGATGATGCCGAGCCTGGTGCGTCGGCATTGTGCGGCGCGGACCCCCGACGTGATCGTGACGATGTTGTCCGAGAATGTGAGGGGTGTGCTGGCGGTGGGGGAGGGGGAGGAGGAGGTGGTGGTGGTGGTACTGATGCACGCGGGTGTGCCGTGCCAGACATGGCAGCCTCGCCTTCGTCCAGCTGGTCTTCGGCCGGCTGCCAGGCGCTGCCTTCCATGATCATGTCGCTGTCCTCCTCAGTTCCTCTAACAGGAGCAGCATCGTCGTTTGCGGCGGCCGATGGGCCTTCGCCGGCCTCGTTGGCCACGCGCTCGGTCTGCGCGCCCTCGTCGCGCCCCGTCTCTGCGCCTGTCGCCGTCGCCGTCGCCGTCGCCGTCGCCGCCGGCGGCTCGTTGGGCTGCACATCAATCATCATCATGTCGTCGTCGTTCTCGTCGTCGACGGTGATTTCGCCCGTCACGATGCCCATGATAGCGGCACCGACCGCCGCCCGGTGGGCTTCGTTGTTGATGGTGTCGCTGACCAGGTCGCCGTTGTCGTAGTCGTCGTCCTCTTCCTCCTCGTCGTCGTCCTCGTCGAGGGCGTCAATGAAGCCGTCCATATCGTCGTCAAAATCGTCGTCGTCGTCGTCGTCGCCGCCACCGCCGCCGCCGCGGCCATCGCGGCCTTGTAGGGCATCGAGGACAGCCTGTTGAGCGGCGCGGCGCATGCGGAGCAGTTCGATCTCGTGGGCGAGCACGGGGTTGGACTCGGGGTCCTGTGTCAGCAGCTCTTCGTCGTCGATGCCGTTGGCGCCGACAATGGCGTGGGTGGCCGGGCTTCCCTTGCGCCACGGCCGCAGGAGCTCCTCGCAGACGACGCGGCGCAGGATGTCGTGGTCGTTGCCGACACTGCAGCCGGAAATGTCGCCCAGCCATTCGATAATGGAGCCGCACATTTGCTCGCGGAAGGTGTCGCGCGACGACCGGATGGTGACGGTGACCTTGATGTCCTCGAGGATGCGGGCGGCGTTCAGCAGCTCCTCGATGCTCTCGGAGTGCATGAGCAGGCTGCGGCCAATCTCGTCTGTTTCGTAGGCGCGTTTGAGGCCCTCCGGCAGCGTGGTGTGGCAGGCGCGGGCGACTTGGTGCATGACATCCGTGACGGTGTGCTTCTCGTCATTCCACAGCAGCACGGCAAACTCGTTGGGCTGGGTGTCGTCCGCGCCGTCGCCGGGGCCGTAGGCGCCCGACAGACGCGACATGCGCTCGTCCTGCTGGATGGACACGAGCGTCTTGGTCTGGCGCAGCTGCTCCGGCGAGCACGACACGACGTCGCACATAAAGTCCAGGGCGCGGCCAATGGTCATGCGGATGCTCGCCTCGAGCTCGGGCGGCGTCCCGGCGGGCGCCTTGCCCTTGTCCTTGCCGGCGCTGCCGCCGGCATGTGTGTGGCCGGCGTGGCCGGCGTGACCGGCGTGCTCTCCGTGGGGATCGGTGGTCTCGGTCCAGGCGGAGTGAATGGTGCAAAACATGGGCGTCTTCCAGGCCTCCGGGTCCCCGCAGTCGCAGCAACCACTATTGCCAGGCGAAACACTGATGCGGACCATGTGGCCTCGGTGGTCGGTGGACTCGAAGCAGCGGCTGCAGAGACAGCACGTGTCGTCGGTGCCGCACGTTTTGCACGAGTAGGTGGCCTCACCCGGGCGGAAGATGTGGCCGCAGGCGTGGCCGCGGGCGGCTTCGGTGTACTCGGCGCCGTTGACGGCCCCCTGGGCCTCACGCAGCTTCAGAGTACCGCCTCGCACGGGCCCGCCGGCGGTGGGGAAGAAGAGGTTCATGTACTCCTCGCGGCCGTTGGCCATGCACCAGAAGAGGCTGCCAAGCAGCTGCTGCTCGGCGGCCTCGCTGTAGCGGTTCCCATGCTGGGTGTTTAGGTCCCGGAGAAACTCGCAGAGCTGCCGCTCCTGGGTTGAGATAGGGGCGGCCATGGCCGCGTGCAGTTGGCAGTTGTCGAAATAAAGGATGCCGCAGAAGACTCGGAGGTGAGAGAGAAAAGGAGGAGGTGGAGAAGGAGGAGGAGGTGTTGGAGCGAAGCGGCGTCGTTCCTCAGGCCCGGCGACGTTGTGTCATGGGCACAGGGAACGACGGGTGTATGCGTATATGGTAGGCTAGGCAATCTGGTGCAGGTTGTTGGTTGCTGGTTGTGGCTGAAGCTGAAGCTGAAGCTGTTTTGGCCGTCTCGAGAATGGTGGGAAAAACGGTGGGTTCGGAGCTCCAGCTGAGACAGGGTTCAGACCCAAGTTGACAGGACCGCTCCCGGGGATTGGAGACGGTCGTGGGAGGCGACAAAACCTCGTTTCTCGGTCAAAAGGCGTCTTTGCTTTGGAGACGGAGGCGTTGGGGCGACGATGTCGACTTTTGGTGGGTGATGGCGAGGATGATGTTTTGGTCACTCTCCTGCCACCTGCCGTTGTTGTCTCCAGCGCGGTGGCCGTCGCTGGTCGCTACTGCCGTTTGGCCGCTAGGGAAGGCGCTGAAGGCACAAAACAGGCCCAGTTAGGCTCTCTACGAGGCAAGAGGTGTGGTGGGGTTGTCGAGGAAGGTGCAATTTGGGGTGTTTTGGGGCAGTTGGGGGCAACTGGCGGGGTTTCAGAAGTGGCAGGCGCCAGTGTGATCTTCGAGGAGCTCAGAGAGCTGTATTAGTTGCTATTAACTGCTGAGTCCCGCCGCAGTCGCTATTATTCAGCTTGCGGCAAGACCGGCAGCCGTTCTCCAGTGGAGCAGGGACGCTTTGCATTTTCTACTCCAACAACTGCGCAAACGTCGCAATCTCCAGCTCTGCTCGCTACCGGCATCTTGTCATTACGCACAGGCGGTCGTCGGCAGCTGAACGGCACATCTCGTCGCCTCATGGACGCGAGAGGTGAAGTGCGTGACGGACAACACGTCGTCACGTGACGATCTTGGCGGAGCCATATTGAAGCTCCCACACCAAAGATGCCTTACTATCATGGGGCAAATTCATCGTTGACACGGCACGTCTGCATGCTCTTGTGGTGGAATGGTCTATTTTGAGAACGCCCTATCTAGGCTGGTGTGTGGCTTTTGTACAGAAGTGGCCCGCCCCGCCGCACCCACGCACGACAGGGCAGCCGTGCAGATGCTTGTCGTCTATCCATGACTGCGGTCCATGCGTCTGTAGTTTCGTGTAATTCGCATTTCCTTCCCTTTTCCCTCCGTCCCCCGTCCACCGTCCGTCATCATCGCGTTGACAGCTCTACTCGTCGTCCTCATCGCCGCCCTCCAGGTACTTGGACCGGATGTCCTTCCATTGGCGCTGTGTGTGTTAGCAGGCGTTGTGTCTCGATGTTGTGGCAGTGTGGAGCGGTCTGGACTCTGGACTTACGCCGCGGTTGATGTTGTCCCACAGCTTGTTCATGCCGGTGTCATAGGCCCTAGATGCAGAGTCAGATGCGTCGTGTTTTTCGATTGTGCTTCGTCGTTCGTCGCCCTCGGTCGTTTCTTACATCTGGAAGCCGAATGCCGCGCCAAAGACGACGGTCAGCATGGCGTAGTTCTGGCGGAACAGAGTGCTATAGTAGGCGTGCGTGTTAGCAGCGTCTTTGGTCACATGGACATGCAGCAAGAGACTCGTTGGCCGTCGGAGCCGGAGGGAGGGACTTGCTTGTAGATGGAACCGTAGGCGGCCTGGCAAGAGAGAAAAAAACAGTTAGCAGTTGACTCTGGCAGGAATGGACAGCATGGGGCGCCAATGGCGACGTCAACATGGATCCTCGTCGCGACTCGAAGCTGCGTCCGAAACCATCCAATTTGAACCGTCACCGTCGGGCCCCAGCCGAGGGAGCGGGAAACACGGCGCGCGTACCATTGTAGCAGAGATCGGTGTCTTGCGACGGGGGAGTCGGAGAGATTGGGTATCGGAGAGGCGGGACGTGGTGCGTGGGAGCGTGAGGGCGGTTGCGGTTGTGGGATTGAATCTGGTTTGCGGGCGTGCGGGTTTTTGGCGGCGGTGGTTTGACGATTTTCGGAAAGTCTCGCCAAAATGCTGGTTTTCCTGCATTACCTAATTTTCCGTCTAACCAACAATTGGTGGGCTGTGATTGGCTGGAGCTGACAAGGACCGAGTACTTTGGACCCACTTTTATCATAGGCATCGGGGCACATGCTGTCGTTGAGCTACAGAGGGGAATCCTAAAAAGTACCTTCCATTGACTGAGACGCATACAAAATTCGAGAACAAAAAAAAAAACGGAATAAAGAGACAGGAAAAATAAACCAATCGAGCTGAGATTTGTGTACGACTCCGCAACGACTCCGTGTACGATATTTTCTTGTTCTCTTTTTACTCTTTCCATTTCCTGGACTCCCCGCGCTCCCGCCATGTCCTCGCAGCCAACCAATGCCGGCATCATCACGGACGCGGCCGGCGTCCGCCATATCCCTGAATCGACGCGCGCCGACGGCAGCACACGGCGGGCCATTAAGATCCGGCCGGGGTACCAGCCGCCCGAGGACGTGGCGCTGTACAAGAACCGCACGGTGGAGCAGTTCCGCAACCGGTTGAAGAACGGCGTGCCGGGCGCGGACGTGGACGAGGCGCCAAAGCCAGCGAAGACGGAGGTGGCAGCAGCTGCGAAACAGGCGTCTGTCCCGGGTGCTGTTCCCGGTGCTGTTCCCGGTGCTGCTGCTGTTGGCGAAGCGTCAGAGAGTGCCTCGGCTGCTAATAAGAACGCCAAGCGCCGCGAGGCCCGCAAGAAAGCAGCTGCAGCTGCAGCAGCCGCGGAGACGGCGGCGGCGGCAACGACGGCGACGACGACGACGACGACGACGACCACCAGCACCCCTGCGACCACCACGACGAAGAGCACCGGCGACGCTGCGCCTGCGGCCGACCCGGACGCAGACCGTGAGAAAAAGGCACGCGGCCTCAAGAAGAAGCTCAAGCAGGCCAAGGAGCTCCAGAGCAAACGCGACGTCGGCGAGACGCTGCTGCCGGAACAGATTGCCAAGGTGATTCGGATCAACGAGCTGGTGCGCGAGTTGGACGCGCTGGGATTTGATGCCGAGGGCGAGAGCACGACATGAACGGGCGGGCAAAGGGAGTGGGAATGCTAAGCTGTGCCGACCAGGCGCTTTGGCACCCAACTTTTGCTCTTACAAACCCATTCGCGCCGCCGATCGTCCACCGGCGGTCGTGTGACACCTCCCCCCAACCCCCCGGATGGTCCGGGATACCTGGGATACGTGTCAATCTTGCTGGCTTCGTGCACGCTACGATATACCGCGCTGACTGCTTCGTCCGCCGGCCGATCCGAGTGGAGATGTTTCCGTGTGGCGTGGCGACTCCCGTTTCCGGCCCAAGAACCGCGCCGAGGAGATGCGCCGAGGAGGCAGTTGACGGGGAGAGAACATCATGGACATGGAGACGAATGTACAACATACAAACAGACTGTATGACGTAGTCAGGCGTTCAACCAAACGAAACTGCCGAGAATGCTGGCAGTGCTCTGTATTTCTAGTTTCTGCTTCGTCTAGTCTACCCATTTATAAAACACGCGTTACACCGTCCGCCCATTCTTGGCATTCGCCGCGTCGGCGCGCGAACAGCACTCTTCCAAGACCGTCCAGAAGCCCGGAATGTCCAGGCCGCGCGGGATGCGGACGCCCCCGGCGCCGGGCGGCAGCAGCTGGGCGACGGTGCGGCCCGTCTCGGCACGGCCGGCCAGCGCCTCGTCCGTTGTGCCGTCGGTCACGACCGTGACGTGATAGCGTTCGGGCGGTGGTGGGCCCGTCGATTCGCTTGCGCTTCCGCTGCCGCTGCCGCTGTGCACAAAATCGTAAAACGGAATGGCGGCGGCCGTGCCCGTCAAGACAGCCGCCACGGCCAGGGGGTCGTGCAGCGGCGGGCCCGCCGAAATGCCAAAGACCTTGTTGTAGCTGTCGGCGAAGAAGTTGAGCAGTTGCACGAGCATCGTGCGCAACACCGTCTTTCCTTGGCCGCCCACGGCCGTAGGACTCGTAGTCGTAGGAGTAGTCGTAGTCGTATTGTGCCCCGGCCCGTGGAGCAGCAGGGCCTGCACCTCGGCCGTCGCCAGCACCAGATGCGTGACGTCCAGCGGCACGAGCGTCGTCTTGCGCGCGAGGCGCGGGTTGGCAAAGACGCGCGCCGCGGCCTCCGGGTCGAGCAGAATGTTGAACTCGGCAAAGGCCGTTTGGTTGCCAATGCGCGGCACGCCATTGACCTCGCCGGCCACGGCGGCCGTGAACCCGCCGCCGATGGCGCCGCCCATGATGGACAGGCCACCGAGGTGGTCGGCGATCGCGGGGTGCTTCTCGAGCAGCAGGGCCACGTTGGTCAGGCAGCCCGTGGCCACCAACCAGGGCGTGCCGGCCGGCTCCGCCAACAGCGCGGCGGCCATGGCCTCGATGGCTTCGTCGGGATCCGTGCTCTTGGCGGCCGCACGTGGCTCCGGCAGCAGGTCGGTGCCGTCGAGGCCCGTCTCGCCGTGTATGTCGGCGCTCGTGGCCATGGGCGGGCGCTCGATCGGCTGCGACGCGCCGGCGTAGACGGGGACATCGTTCTCTTTCGAGATGGCTGTGAGGATCGACCTTGCGTTCCACAGCGTGTGACTGCGGATTGGTGGATGGTGAGCTGGTATCCAACGAACAGGGACGTCCATTGCTGCTGCACGAGGAACGACCTACTTGAGCGATGCGTTGCCATAGACGGCGGAGATGCCGAGGAGACGGAGCGCCGGATGGTGGGCGGCCATGAGGATCGCGAAGACGTCCTGAGGGTTAGCGAGACACGCGAGCAAGCGGCGCCACGCGGAGCGACGAGGCACTTACATCGTGGCCGGGGTCGCAGTCGAGCCAGACCGGAACGGGTGTTTGTATCTCGGCCATGGTGGACGGATGGAGGATTGAAGTGCGAGACGTGACGATGAGGAGGAGAGGAGGTGGGCCA